CACTGGGGCACAAGTTCAAAATGACGGAACTGAAATATTACATTTGGTGTTTATCATGTGTTCCAGGATCAGTACTGTATTTTTAGAACAGCATAAAGTGACACTGATTTAAATTCTAATTTAGACCTACATGTAGAGTCATTTTTAGGAAGTCCCTTAGGAAAATGTCACAGAAAATGTTGCAAAAGTTGTTCATTACCAACAAACGGATGTTTTTGTTGCCAAAGTTTATGTGTACTGCCAGGACAGACATAGCGGCAGTAACACAGTGTCACAATCAATCAATGTAGTTGATACTGTTTAGTAATTGTCCTGTCTGTCACAGTTGTATCCAATCTGTCACAATAATATTTTTTTTTTAACAATGATCACTTTTGAACCTATAATACAGGCATGCAACTTTTCCTCGGATCAGCTGATTTCCTCTTTTTTTGCTTTCCAAGTGTTCCATTAAAAATAGAAAAACACTGTACAAATGCTGGAAAAAAAATTAGAATTTCCTCTTTTTTAGTGACTTCCCAGTTGCATGCCTGATAATAGAGGAAATTCAGTAAAGGCATATTGATGTAAGAGTAGAAGCACTGGAATACCAATCTGATGGGGCTGCACAACATTTCAAATATAAATACAGTTTGTGCAATGCGACATTAAAGAAGATTCCTTCATTAAAGAAGCCGACCTTTGACAAGATGGGATCTGCCCGATAGTACGAAGGTCCCATAGTCCGAAGGTCTGTTGATCCAAAGATCAATCAACTTTACTGGTTGTGATCAAACATTTTTTAAAAATCCATCAATTCAACAAATTGGTTGTGGAATTTATTGCATCCTTTGATTAGACAGAACCCCATTGCAGCAATTTTACAGATAGGCCACTAAAAATATGCCGATACTTTGCCCTACATAATGCAATCTGGATATAATTTGTAAAAAGTGCAGACTGTTCAGCACTGAAAGCTCAAGTCTAGTAACTGGACATACATGTACATACGAAAAAAGAAATTGTGTGCCTGGCTGAATACCTGCCACTCACGTACGTGTATATTGAAATAAATAATGTCAGTATTTAGTCCTTTTTGAAGTTCCCACTGAGAATACATCTGCATTTGTCCTCGGTCACACAGTAGAATGTTACAGAAGTATCAACAGAAAATATAAGTGACCTGCTTGGTACATCTTCACATAATGTACATTGTAGCGATTGCACATTGACTTCTAAGTCTGGGTGCAGTTACATCTCTGTCTGAGTGCGTGGAATCCCGCAGATGCTGTTCTGTGGAGAACCTTCCTGAATTCCCTGTTCTGCATGTGTAAGATTATTCCATCCAACCAGTATGTCATGTTGAAGACAAGGAAGAAGAAATGTTGTAAATAGAAATTTACAGGTGTTGCGCTGAAATTGAGTATGGTAACTGTGAGTTGAGGAATCCAGCACGCAGACAGAAAAGTCATTGTTATAGCCACAGTGGTAAACGACTTGGAGCTGACTCTTTGAGGTGCTACTTGGTTTTCTTGGGCAATGCGTCGTGCCTGTCGTCTTGCGATCACCAGAATGTGCAGGTATAATATCACAATAGTTATGAGAATTAGTAAAATTACACCAATTGTTACAATTAAGATCAGAGCTCCATAAGTAATGAAGATGGCAATTACAACACAAGCAATTGAAATAAGTAGAGTGAACACCCAACTACAAATGACGGCTACCACTGCTCTGCGAGGTGTCATCAATCGTGTGTAGTGCAGACACCAGGCAATGGCGAGGTACCGGTCAATGGTCAGTAACAGCAGTGACAGGAGACACTCAAAGAAGAAAATAGTGTGGACTGTTTGTTGTACAAGTCCATATGACAGACATGTTTCATCTGTATAAAAGTTGCAGATGACTTTTGGTAAAAATGCAAATAATCCCATACCAAGATTGGACACGGTGAGAGACGACATGAAAACTCTGGTTGACGGTTGAATGGTAGTCATTCGATTGATAATCAGCAAGCATAATGAATTCCAAGTCAAAATCAGCACTAGGTTCAGAGTGTAGTTAACTGCATAGAGAGACATTGAAACATCATTTGTATCCACAGTTGACGTATTATCAAACAGATCCATGATCGATGCCTAGAGAGAGCTGCAGTGTTGTGTCTGGAGCAACTTCAACCAATTTGCAAGCTCTGTGCTATTTGAAAGCTCTAATGTAGCAATGTCTGGATGACTTCATGCATGTCAAGTCCATTTTTCAAATGTCCTCCAGAAATACTGTTCAGTCTTGATATTCTCTTGCCTAGTTCATGTGTGCTGCATGTATGGGTTCTGCTGTCATACCGTGTGCTTTTTATACAAAGTGTGCGTACATGTACTTAAGGCCCACACTTCCCACCCGTTTCATGGAAATATTAAGTACCGGTAATTGTGTCGGCATCTTAAATTTGTTTACTATCCTTTTATGCAGAGTTGATATTAAATCCTGCTATGTATCCATCCATTACTTTAAGTCTTTTATTGGGCTGAGTTCCATCCATTATATACTTAATAGTACTAATGATACTATACCATAGAATCGGACACTTTATAGGATTCATTGTTTGATAACCACTTAACAAATGCACTAATGGAAGGGATATGTCTAATATCCCTAAATCTTGTTTGTTGTCGAATTTCAGAGTACTAATGACGGTTTGCGATGTAGAAATCTCTTTCGGGAAGATGTGCGGTTCTGAAAAAAAACCACACATCTAGATTTCTACTTAGTGTTACCACAAACCTTCACTACAAAGGCCTATAGTTCATACCACCACCATACAAAATTTCAAATCTTTAAACTTCAAAGTAATCATCTTCCCTCAGGTGATCATAGCCCATGCACGTTTTACAGTACACTTTCAATCAAACATAAAAGGAAATTAGGAAATAGAAACAACACTTCCAAAGTTTGGTCTATGCACTTGTCCTAAAAATACCTGTTTTGTTTTTGTTTTGTTTTTTGCAAGCAGAGTCTGATGAGGGCATACAGAGACCTTGCTGCATATTCTAACGTCTGATCCCTGATCAATTACTTCCATCTTTTTGTATTGATGGAAAATGAAACGTATTTAAATAAGAAAAAGCTTTTTATCTTTATGGTGTATCAACTTTGAATTCATAATTAAGCTGCTGTCAAGTGCTTCGTCACTAATTCCTCCCCGGAACACTTCCTGGACAATTAGCAAACCAGCTTTGCATGTCACAGAGCATCATTCCGCCTACAAGTAAACACAAACATTGGTATATTTTTCACAAAATTAGTACCTGAAAAGATTGGTGAAATTGCTTTGCATTAAATTTTCACCATTCTAGTGAGAAGCTCAATTGTGCTTAGTTTTGCTTCTCCAAAAAGATTCAAGCCACGTGCAAAACTTTTGTTCACTACTGTCAGGGTTCGACCTTACTTTTTTTTCACTAGCCAGCCGGGCTACCGAAATAGACTCTTAACTAGCCTGCGGGCATTTTCACTAGCCCGCATGTTTTTCATTTATAGAGTGTCTCATAGACAACAATGTGCATACATGTACATGTAAAACGTGTATCCTGAGGCAATCTTGTCAGTGTTTTTAATAAATAGATCTAATAATTTAACCTCAAACAATTAATAAAAAGTGACACAAATTGATACAGGTCTGCTTTCTGAATTTCATGATTTATTTCTTCTGTCCTTTCATCTTTGCCATAGCCCAATAATTTTTGACTCGCCAGCCGGGCTACTTAAGGAATAGTCTGACTAGCCCGCCGCTGTTTTGACTAGCATTTGGCTAGCGGGCTACCGAAGTCGAACCCTGCTACTGTCATTTTCTATGTCCAACCATGTCTCTTCCATCTGTAGATCAATTAATTTTCACCTACGTAACCTCTGGCGAATTCGTAAATTCATCGATGACAACATATGTCACCATGTTGTTCGTACATTTATAACATCCCGGCTTGATTACTGCAATTCTCTTCTATTTGGTATAACCCAAGGTGAAAAACATAGACTACAAAAAATTCAAAACCGTGCTGCTCGGCTCATCTTCTCTGTCAAATGCACTGTGGATGCTACTTCTCTCATCACCAATCTTCACTGGTTACCCATCCAGCAGCGTATATCATTCAAAGTTCTTCTGATGGTTTACAAGTGCCTACATGGTATTACTCCCCCTTACTTGTGTTACTTACTCACTTTATATCAACCAGGTAGACTGGGATTAAGATCTTCCAATGATAAACTTCTTCTCTCTACTCCTACAGGTTCAAAATCCCTTGGAGACAAATCTTTGTCAATAGCAGGCCCCAAATTATGGAACACTATTCCCATCAACATCAGGGACGCCCCATCTCTCACCATTTTCAAGAAACGTCTTAAAAGTTTCTTATTCATTACTTCCTAGTCCTCTCTTGTAGTTGTACAGCGCTTTGTTCTATTTTGTAAAAGCGCTTTATAAATACTTTATTATTATTATTGTTATTACTGTCATTGCAACAACAGTCATGTTGGCTGTTGCATCGCACATGAACCTTCAAAGAGTGTTATACCGCGGCAGCGGAGTGTCACTGTGTGACAAAAATTTCATCAATAATTCTAGCTTGCTACCTGCGGTTAGTTGTACAATATAGTTACTAAATTGAAAGGCTGTTTTGGTGATTACAGCATAAGGCAGTTTTGTCCATTTACAATCAATGCCAATTAATCCCAGCTACATGTACCGGTAGTTCTCATTTTTGTATCAACCACAGAGTTAACCTACATCTATGGTGTTGTGTAGGAATTTCCTGTTTTGAAATTAAAAAAAACTTTCAAAACCGTGCAACTTAAAAGTGACATTTTTTTAGTAGTTTCACTTTTAGCCTTTCTTCAAAGAAGTTCTGGAAAAAAAATCTTGCGGTGTTGCTTTAATCATTTGGGCAAACATCATTTCTAGCGAACTGTTCTAAACCCTTTTTGAATGTGTTGCATGATAATCCCACCTGCTCAATGAGTGATGCATCCAGATGTTTCAAAAGGTAAATGTATTGAGGAGAATGGTTCATGAAGGTACATGTTAATACTAATTTTTGCATTTTTTTTTGTTCTTGTACTGAACTTGTAGTTGTTGGACAAAGATGAGGAGATTGCAACACTGCAGGAGGTCTATGAGACTCAACTGGAAGAGGCCAAAAGTAGCAATCTGTCCACTGTTGTCGTAGAAACGGATCCACATCCAGAGAACCAGGAGTTAAAGCAGACAATTGATAGCCAGGCCACAGAGATTGCATCATATCCTTTGAGAAGACAGACTGGCCTCTTTGTATGATTACCCAGAGCAGCGTTGTAGTAGAGTACACTTAGAGTACTAGTGCAGGTACCTTGTACACATGAAAGTACATGTACATGATTACCGGTATGAATACAATGCATTATTTCATTAAAGTACATGTACGAGTACATGTTTGAGTACTTTTCCACGAGTATGAGTACAAGCACATTTCCCTTCATACCGGTTGAGGGTTCAGAGTTTGAGTTCAAGTACATTTCTACAAAGATGAGTTTGAGTATGAGTACATATACTTTTCCATGAGTAAGAGGGCATTTCAATATTAACAGGCATGCAACGTTTCCAAAAATCAGCTGATTTCATCTTTTTTTTACTTTCCGTGTGTGCCATTGAAAACAGAAAAACATTTTACAAAGTCTTGGAAAGATTTGAATTTCCTCTTTTTTTTGTGACTTGCCAGTTGCATGCCTGTAGTAAAGGTAATGCAGTAGAAGCTGGTCTCCTATTGTATTTATCACTCATTCATAAATACCGGTACCTACGACAGTTTACCTATTCCTATTGGTCGTCGAGAACCCGTAATCACGTGTGTGCTTTTAACGGTTGATAAAACACCGACTGGTTCTATACACTTTTTTTCCGCCACTGCCGCTTGCGTCTGCGCCACATCGCACAGTACGCACCAATCACCATATATGGAGATTTTTAGTACTAACGTAGGCACATATCATAAACATAGCTAGAGGTGTGTTTCACAAAACATGAAGTAACACTAATTGGAAATGTATAATTTTTGACTTGTTAAGAACAAAATCATTGGAAATGTACAATTTTTGACTTTTGACCGAAAGGTATTTATGAATGGGAATAAACATGTGCTTGGCTGGTATTAAACAAGAACGTTTAAGACTGGCTAGGAGCCTGGATGCAGATAATGGCTTTAGGCTCGGGCCATTATCCGCGTCCTGGCCCCTAGTCAGTTTTGAACGTACTCGTTTAAAACTGGCCAATCACATTTTGTGAATAAATTTATGTTAATTTATGCACAGTTGAGAAACGATTCCATATGCAGGATTTCAAAGGTTTGTATAACTTACTCTGATGGCCTTTCCTTAACTAAGCTCCTTGCCTGCGCACATTGCAAACTCAACAGCAGAAGTTCACAGAGCTCCTGGGGCACTTTGAGAATGATAGAGAGACCAAGAATAAAGAAATACAACAACTCAAGGTAAAGAACTCAAATTACACAAGTCTTAGAATTCCCAACAATTTGAGTCATAAAGTATATACATGTACCCGGTATGTGACTTAATACAACTGTTTGTTTTCCACTTTTATTTGAATATCTCTTTTTACTTTTAATTTACTTTTGACAAGAGTTGTTAGAGTTGCCGCACAATTCCGAATTAAGTCGGACAAAACTATTTTCAAAAAGTGGGTGGAGGTGATTCTACGAATGAACAGAATCATACACAAACAGCCGTCGTACTATGCAAATGCTGTTATTATCCTCGTCCATGATGTTTAGATTATTTAAAACGTTGCGCAGCTACGCCAAATTTCGCTACAGCGATCCAACATGTAAGTTTTTTGCGCAGCTGCGCTATAAATTTGTTGCGCAAATCCTACTTCACTGTTTCGTGAAATCGGCTGTGGGGTTGAGAGCCTCTACCCTGGTAGAAAATCAAGCCAAATATGAGGCCAAACCGTGAACACCAATTGTGAATGTCCTGCCAGTGTTCGATTTGACCAGTTCCACTTACGGTGGACCCATGTTCTTGGTTCTTGGTTGGTTCTTCTCCTAAATACTCCACGTGGGAGTTTATACAGGAGGCCAGAAACACCGGGGCAAACCCCTTCTCTTAGCGATAAGTGTTTACTGGGTTCTTTTACGTGCATATATACAACACACGGGACCTACGGCTTAACGTCCCATCCGAAGGACGAAGCAATAATGGTTAAGTGCCTTGCTTAAGAGCACAAGTGTCTGCCGGCGGGCTCGAACCCACGTCACTGTTGCCTCTGAAACACCAGAACGTGGGTCCGGTGTTCTTAACCGCTAGGCCATCACACTCCACTTGTTGATTTCAACGATAGTGCGATAAGACCTATCTAAGACTTGACTTGTGATGGACCCAAATACTATTCACTGCCACCCTTTTAGGTTGAGACAATCCTTTGGTTTTGGTTCTGACCCCATGATGTTTATTGTCTTATGGTGTAGGATTCCCTGAGTGAGCGGGAGCATGTCCAAGTTGAGAAAGAGATCTTGGTCGCCAAGTGTCAGACGCTGCAATATCAGGTGGAACAGTGGGAGGATGAGGCTAAAGAAAAGTAAGAAATCAACAACAAAAATCCACAGTGTTCTCCACGGGGGTTCTGTGAGAGCTCTCCCGAATATATCAATAATGAATAAATTATCATTAACCGAATATTCAAATAGCATTTTGCCGATTTGCAAAAGTTAAAACTATGCACGTGCACACATGACTGATGTTATTTTAATCGTACAGTTTTTTTTATTGTCAGATGCCACTTTTTTGTTGACGCCTATTTATTGGTCCCATTTTGCTGGGTAAAGTCCCTTGATGGTTATACAGTACTTCCTACAACACTCCACTAGCAGCCCATAATATCCATTGCCACATGCAAATTTGAACCAGCAAGAAAGGCAGCTGCAGTTGGTGTGAGTAAAACTTGATCGGCAAGTTTTGAATATTTGAATATTCGGTTAATTGCAGTTTTGTATTTTTGAATACCAAATTATTCGAAAATGGACAGCCCTAGGTTCTGGCAGACAACCCTGCTACACGGAAAATACTACTTAAATGGAAAATCAGAAATATGAAAGTAGAAATACTGCTGAAAGGTACATGTATTGATTTCTTGACATAAACAATGATTTACTTGGTTCTATTACATGAAATTATGGGTTTTGTTGTTGGCCGGTTTTTGCATGTGGCATGTGTAAATATGTTCCACATCATAGATACACTTGTTTTTTCTTGCTTTACTGCAAGTAATCAGCAAGGCTGGTGATCTGATGAGAATCAAACAGACCAATCCAAGATGTTTTGACCAATCAAAGCCTTGATCATGTCCAACAAATATATGATATGCGTGCACTTGTGTTAAAAACACACCAGGTTAGAACTTGTACTGGTAGTGTGGCATTGGAAAGACGCACATTTTTTTCACCTACCAAGGAGTTACGTGTTGCATGGTAAGCATGCCTCCACAACTAAAGGTGCATTTACTTATGAAAATTTGAGATAAATCAATTATCACTTTCACTAAATGCAAATCTTTGTTGAAATTGTCCTTTTCTCTTAAATTAGGGAAATGGAGCTTCAATTCAGTAATCGTGAGCTGCGTGAAGAGGTTAGCCGCATCAACTGTGCGTTTGACAGTGTGACCAAACTGAAAGATGAGGCAATAGAGGCCAAGCTAACAGCAGAAATGGAGTGAGTATACCGCGTTGAAAATGATGTAAAGAAATATCAGTTTGCATTCATTCCCTGTATGATACTCATTCAGTACTATTAGGCCAAAAAAAAAAATATTCGGTCTCTGGTCAGACCAAAGTTCCGGAATTGACGCGGCCACGCGGCTTTTTTTTTTTTTTTTTTGCTTTTTTTTTTTTTTTCTTCAAGCTTGGATTGTACAGACAAGGTAGGTACTATTTTGCTTTTTTGGTGTCCTCATGTACATTGGTGTCCTCCATAATTTGCCTTGGTGCTTTCGATCATTTGCCTTGGTGCAATTTCCCATTCCTTGGTGCTCTTTGGTTAAAAAAATTGAGGAGGTGCTGAAATAGAGGGCGCTGTTGGAGCTACCGCGGAACATTTTGGAAAAAAAAAGATCGACGCGCATGATTAAAATCGATGCGCGCGCTGACCAGAGACCGACTTATTTTTTTTTTGGCCTTACTCATTGTAAGCTTGTTTATGGAAGTATGACATTTTGAAGTTACCGGTAAGTCTGAAATTTGAAGGGTTGGAAGGTCCCCTTATACACGGCAGACATGATACACCTTTTTAATTCAACTTATCATTTCCATTCACATACCAAATTTATGTGTGTCAGGAACGTTTTTTATTTCCAATGTTATAAAGGTTTCACTGCATTCCTAAAGAATAGAATTGAGAAGTTTGGCATGTAAATTTGTCACACCACACCCAACTGAATTTGAATTCATGAACAGGTATATTTTAAACTTTCCTCTGTTAAATTTGGGATAAAGCCATAAATTACATAGTCGAGGCACTATTAAAATTTTAAAGAAACTAATCAGCATATGCCAGGCATGCAACTTTTCGTCGGATCAGCTGATTTCCTCTTTTTTTACTTTCCATGTGTGCCATTGAAAATAGAAAAACACTGTACAAAGTCTGGGAAAAATTTGAATTTCCTCTTTTTTTGTGATTTCCCAGTTGGATGCCTGATATGCCTTTCTATGCAAAAATGCCATGTTATGTGCCAAAAAATTAGCCTTGAATACTTTGAGAGTAGCTGATCAAGGAAATGTGTATGGGAGAAAAACCTCTTGAGCGAAGTCTAACTACAAACTTTAAAATAGGTTTTATTTAGTATTTTAAAAGGGTACAGTCTAGTTTGTTTCGTATGTGTTTTTGCATAGATTGGCACAAGTGAAGTGCAACAGTGAACTCATGGAGGAAAACGCTGAACAGATTCTGGAAGAGCTAGAGAGGTACAGAAAATATCCACTTTGAAATGCCCACTGTATTGCTGGATGGAGACCAGTTTTGGTTTACTGGAGTTTATCACGAAATTGCAACAATGTCGTAGTAATATTTCACATTACTGATCGTTGTTTTTGCATCAGATCAACTCCATTGGATGAGTTCCCATATTGCCAAATACCATTTTTTTAAACTAATTTTCCTTTTAATTACTTTAGTTTTCCATTATAACAAAATTACATTTTCAATTTAACTGCTTTTCAATTTAACTACAATTGTAGATTCATTCTTAGATTTTGCCCTTCACCGACTTAATGTCTTATACACCAGATACTGGTTATCAGAGGGCTTGCAAGAAAAGAATTCACAAGCTTAATTACTAAATAGATTACTCAAACCTATGTCCTCCTGCTTTAAAGTGCACATTTCACTCGCGAGCGTGCTGGCTGGCTGGTTCAAATCTGATAAGCATCTGGTAGTGCCAAAATTGTGTTGGTAAAGGGCAAAACCCAATATTGAATTTCATCTCCCCAACGGTAATATTCCATCATAACTGTAACTGTGTCTTTCATGTTTTGGCACCAATCTTGCGAAATAATTCCTGGTCCATAAATTGTTAAACTACTATCATTGTAGTCTGGTACATGTTTACCTGATATTTGAGCCCAGATATTGTTATTTACATTTGTCACACATCAGGTTTTTTTTAATGATTAGTATAAGCATATCAAAATACCTGTGTTTGGGTCAATTTGACTGACAGGATTAAGGCGATGGAGAGTGGCCATTTTGAAGAGAAGGAGAACTTGAAGTCATGCATGAGCCAACTCCAAGAAGAGAAGATGCAACTGCTTAAGGTGACAAGTCAGATTGCATTTTTTGAGGAAAATCAGTAAAGTAGATAATAACTCGGCAAAGTCTCTTGCTTATGGACACTAATACCGTAATTACTGTAATATTTAGAGAGCCCATGACATGAAATTGACTTGGGAACATACTTTGTGCAACTTTCTACTCCTTTTAAAGATATGAACACCAATTGAAATAGGTTAATCTTTTTAAAAGTGCACTTCTTTAAACGTTTAAGATTTTCCTTGCTTTTCCTGACAAAGGAGGACGTTGTTGCTGTGATGTCATTTCAGGAACATACTGTCCACTTCATGGGTTTTCTTGTCAAATTGTGAACCCACAATTTGCTCATTGAAAACATTTATGAGAAAACTTTGTCATGTACTGAACAACAAATTATCCCCCAAAAAAGAGGTACATGTATACGACAGCAAAATATCCAAAATTCTGGCAAATTTTGGAGCTGAAATAGCTGTAACATCGAGGTTTCTACCTCAAATGACTTCACACTTTTGCTCATGACTTTGCAAATTATCATAAAAACCAAAAAAGTGCTCACAAAAAAATGCCCTTAACAATGCTAAAATGAAAATTAAACATAAGGTTAAATAGGACACAACGGTATATTTATAAGGACTGAGTTATCAAAATACATTATATTATGCAAATATGACCATAGTTAAAAAATTGCAAAGCTTCACCAATAATCAACTATGCGTAGCAGAGGTTCACATCTGAATGTTGGAAAAACTCACTGCCTAACGCATTTTGTTCAAGCATCAATCACCTCCACCTTAGAATGGTTCTTCAATCCTACATAATCTGTTTTAATGATTCGGGTTTGTTATATATTTTTTTCAGGAGATGAAAAAAATGGAAGAGAAGAATGACGAGTTGACGGCAGTCAACACTAAGCTTGCCGGCCATCAGAACCTGAAGCAGAAGATCCATTATCACCAACAGGTCAAGAATGAGAATGCTCAACTCAAAGAGGTAAAACAAATTCCATACCTTGTACCATACTCACTATATTATTCCACTACACATTCTATTTGAATGTTGGGATTTTTAAAGTGTAAACATTTATGCCAAGCACTTTTACATTCACTGTGGAGGAGCATATAAATACACGTGCATACAAAATTATGACCATAAATGTCCTAGTAGCAAATCATTACGCCAAAAAAAAGGAAAGCCAGGGGCTCAATGGTTCTTTTAAACCATAGAACTGACGCATTTTATTTGAACTTGAGCAGTGCCTAGGATGGGCCAGTTGTGGTTTCTGTTCTGTAGATCAACTCCAATGAAAACATACAGGAAGCAAACATTGAATTCGCAAATTTAATTTAAATGTTTGAATTGAACTTCCAATGGAGTGGCGAAGTGAATACGTCACGCGCACAAAATGTGTGTGAAAGACATTAGCACGTGATTCAGCCCTTGAACCAGGGCGCGCGTTCTGCATTCGTTTGCGCCACTCTTTCTGGTTCTAAATGACGTCACACTTCTGTACTCCATTTCCCCACTCAAAGCAAAGTTGTAACTTACATCCAAATTTTAACTTGCCTTTTTTTAATATGACGGACGTAATAGAAGGGCGCTCTTTGGTTTGGTAAACCTTTTTGTATTCACCCAAACTAAATAGCGCCCTCCTATTGTGTCCTCCATATCCAAAGGAGACTAATGGCACTTCACCAGGAAACTGCTCACTCAAAATACTGATACATGTAAGTTTTATTTCATTTCTCTGTCTCATCTAACCCACAGCAACTGTTAAAGACGAGAAACGACACTAAATGGATAAAAGGGGAACTGGAGCAGTACAAGAAAGTCTACGGTGATCTGAAGCTTAACGGCAACGGAAATGGCAACGGAAATGGCAACGGAAATGCCAATGGAAATGGCAACGGAAATGGCAAAACCCATGGCAATGGAGATGACACCCTGCCTTTGGAAACAGTGAAGGAGAACGTTGATCCAAGAACTGTCATGTCATGAGGGAGACTTATGAATATCAATTAACATTGGATACCTTGTACATAAGAACAGAACCTTGAATTTCAAAACAGACTAAAATGATTTTGACATTGTATCCGTACGTTTCTTTTTTAGTACTGCTAAATTTTGAGTTTTGGTGATCATTGAGTAACATGCTAGAAAAAATGGCGGACCAGTTGTGGTCCACATGGTATCTGAAGATTCATCGACTTCATTGAGAATTTTTTTATGCAAATGATGGAAGGCATTCAATTAAATGTATTCACACAGATTCAATTGATGTACAATTGGGAGATGAGATGTTCTCAGCTGATTACGTTGTACATCGTTTGTAACAAATTTTGTAGTAACTATAAGGAAGTCATATTTTCATCAAGAGCATTGTATTATTGCCAGTTTGAAGATAATCATTTATTGAAGCCAAATTGATGCAGTTATTAACCTTACTTCAGAACCTAACATGTGTTTTAAAATAAGATAAAAAAAAAAGCTGAATTCATTCTGTATCCAAAAAAAAGAGTTTACTTGACTTTAGAGTATGGAGTAATGCATTTACCATTAATTCCAAATAGTTTTAGTAGCGATTATGTGACTCTTGATTCAGGGAAACAAAGCAACTTTCCAAACATTGCTCGCTTTTGATTTGTCGTCCATATGAATACTATAGGGGTGCAGTGCACAAAATGACTGTGAACCATTCATTCAGAATTTTTCATTTTAACTGATCTCTGTCTCTTTAGTATACTTGAGTGTCTGAGTAGCATGCTGCCGTGAATGTACAGTACAGATGCATATGACCGGCTCTGGATTGTTGATAAGATGTTAAAAACAATTCAAAATTTAGCATTCGTGTGGTAGCTGAGCTCATGGTCACCATGTAAATTGTTGTGTGTATCGATTATTCCGTAGTCTAGTTAAACATAAAAAGTTTGAGTTTAAAGATTCTTTTTTAAGTTTATTAGTCTTTGAGTTTAAAAAATGAAAGTTTCTCCATGATTATGCAGTGGATTATGTTTTCCTTCTTTTCCTTTTAATTGTACAGATAATGTGGCAGTTCTTGGTAGTGGTGACCAATAATAATTATGGTGCCTGATTTTTCTGCTTCCAAAGAACAGTGTTGATGGCTGTCTTTCCTTTCGTACTGATCTGTACATTAATCTAATGTTTTATACTTAGTTCATGCCACACGTATGTCACCATATATGAAATGAACATTGTTCTCTAATATTTACATGCATTCAAATTCGTGACATTGTTATACCTCATATCATTTTACCTTAAACGTCGCTGTTCTAATTTTAGAGGAACTGTTTGGACTTAAAATTTTGTTACTTTTAGAATTGTTTTCAATAGCTTCCGTTCAAGTGTAGTTTGTGTAACACGATAAAAACCTGTACAATTTCTGGTAAACGGCCTTCTGGATATATATTTTTTCTTCAAATTAAATATAACCCAATCAGTATTTTGAGAGTGATTTTCCTAATAATTCCATAAAATGTCATGTACCTTTTTTCCAGTGTAAAAAGTATTGTACAAATTTACAAGAGGCAGCAACAATAGTTATCATAGCAACATTGTACGAACTCGGTGCATTTCAGTAATGTAAATGAATGAAAGAATAGCCTCGGTATTTCCACATATTGCGTGTGTTGGTAAGTCATTTATCATCGCTTCTAAACAATGTGCTTCGCATGCACGGAAATTGACGTTGTTCTCAAGATACTGATTTTGCCTGCTTTTAAATTTAATTTTCATTTAAATTATCAAGATTCTTAAAATAAGTTGCATATACATGTATGCGAAAAGACTGATTACAGGTATCTTGACTTGCTACAAATACGGTGCGTTTTATGAAGAACTTATGAACCAGTACATGTACCTTAGATCTTGCATTCTGTTTTGAATCTACTTTGCACATGGAACGTTTGATTAAATAGACTGGAGTCTCTGAACGTGTCACCTAAAAATCTAGCAGGAAATTAAAATCAAAATTTCCCAGATTAGTTCAATCCCGAACATTGTGTTATAATGAAGTTGCATTACCATGAAGATAATACATGTAGGTGATGGATTGAGGTGAAGTTCAGTGGGAGGTATGCCTGTTTTTAGCCGTAGAACTCGGTCCTTTACAAAAAACTTCATGTTTACATGTATACACGTACTTGTACTTGACTGATTGCCGATTTGCTGAACATTTTCTGTTAACACAAACCAGTAAGCACAATTGTGCCTTTAAAGTCAATAGAATTGTGCTATGCGTATGCTCTTATGACGAAAAAGGCTCTACAATATATGTATTTGCTTATGCAAACCTTCGTTTTTAATCATTATAATTGAATCTACTTTGATGTACATGTGCTGCTGCTTTAAAACTAAATGCAGAAATAAATTCCAAACCATGGTATGGCAAGTTAACTTGTTAGCATTTTTCACTCTTGTTCCTATGTATGTCCGTCTATAGATCTCTTGCTAATCATATAGCTAGTGCTTAAAAAAAAAAATAACTATCCGTTCCAAGCAAAGTTAATTCCAGGTTTAATAAGCCTCTGTACTAATGACGTCGCACTTTGTTTAAATGTGTTGTTTTTTTATGGTGCTCAGTGGACCGTGGGCCCCCACTGGCTCCATAGGAAAGTGTACATGTAAACAAACTGTGACGTCAGTAGTATAGAGGTATATTCTTACATCAGAACATGACTGAGAAGATAGATGCTCAAGTGTAAGTATTAACCGTCCCGCTAAATGAACATTCAGGTTAACCGGCCGATAATAAAGCCCCAAATTCCTACCCCTGATATACAGAAGCTCAAGCTGTCTTTTAAATAAGTTTCAAATACACCCAAGTTTGTAATTATTCGAATCCTCACTTTTTGCAGAAAAAAAACAGTATGATAGTGGACAGGTCTACAACACCAACTGTCCCAGGTTCAACACCCACTCGTGCTCATTTGTATAAAAAATATACAGATGTACGGTATATATAAAGTAAAATTCGCTAAGGACAACCCTGCAAGGATTCGAACCCGGGACCTTCCGTACCGGGATCCTGATGCCATCCTCGTGAGCTACCAGCGCTTACCTACGAAAGCCCATTAGCGCCACTGCAAGTATATATGTTACAGATTGTGTAATTCGTTATTACGGATTATTAATTCGTTATTACGGATTATTAATTCGTTATAACGGATTATTTAATTCGTTATTACGGATTATTAATTCGTTATTACGGATTATTAATTCGTTATTACGGATTATTTAATTCGTTATTACGGATTACTAATTCGTTATAACGGATTATTTAATTCGTTATTACGAATTATTAATTCGTTATTACGGATTATTAATTCGTTATTACGGATTATTTAATTCATTATTACGGATTATTAATTTGTTATTACGAATTAGGTCTGATGTTCTCACACGTGGAGAGCACGTGACCAGGGGCCTGTGTATATAGCGCCGCTAGGCGGCGCTATCTTTGCATACCACGTTTGCACTCCTGTGCCATACTTGCCGAGTAATGACTCAGAACGTATGAGTAATTCGTAATAACGAATTAAATAATCCGTAATAACGAATTAATAATCCGTAATAACGGATTAGTAATCCGTAATAACGAATTAATAATCCGTAATAACGAATTAAATAATCCGTTATAACGAATTAGTAATCCGTAATAACGAATTAAATAATCCTTAATAACGAATTAATAATCCGTAATAACGAATTAGTAATCCGTAATAACGAATTAGTAATCCGTAATAACGAATTAATAATCCGTAATAACGAATTAAATAATCCGTAATAACGAATTAGTAATCCGTAATAACGAATTAGTAATCCGTAATAACGAATTAATAATCCGTAATAACGAATTAAATAATCCGCAACCTATATACTTGCAGTGGCGCTAATGGGCTTTCGTACTTACCGCATTTGGGTTCGGTCCTTATATGTATTTAATGTATTAAAACCTTAAAATGAAACATACCAAATTTGAGCTATATTTTCAGAATATTATTTCGATTTAATATTATTTCGATTGATTGGAAAGAAAACTTGACATTCCTTTAGACATACCTCTAGGGGCGATCGTTCTTGATCGCCCCTGGCGGTATACAGAAACGCGGGTACCTCTAGAGGCGACCGTTACTGATCGCCCCTAGCGGTATATAGAAACACTCGTACTTCTAGGGGCGACCGTTATTGATCGCCCCTAGCGGTATATAGAAACACTCGTACTTCTAGGGGCGACCGTTACTGATCGCCCGTAGCGGTATACAGAAACGCTCGTACCTCTAAGGGCGACCGTTATTGATCGCCCCTGGCGGTATACAGAAACGCGCGTACCTCTAGAGGCGACCGTTACTGATCGCCCGTAGCGGTATACAGAAACGCGCGTACCTCTAAGGGCGACCGTTATTGATCGCCCCTAGCGGTATATAGAAACACTCGTACTTCTAGGGGCGACCGTTATTGATCGCCCCTGGCGGTATACAGAAACGCGCGTACCTCTAGAGGCGACCGTTATTGATCGTCCCTAGCGGCATACAAAAACGCGCGTACCTCTAGGGGCGATCGTTATTGATCGTCCCCAGATCGATCACATTAGCACGAAAAATCTTACCGGATTGTTAGGGAATGACAGTCTAAAGCATCCTGTAAAATCGTGGCTGCTGGTGTGCTGACTTTTCAAGAAAAAAAATGTATTTTTCCAACACTGATCGGCTGACAAGCGTTGGAGAAAACGGTTTTTTCTTCTTCAAAAACTGCCCCTAATGTTTCACTTTTAGTTATTCTGCATTTTGTTTGCAATTGATTACACACCTGTGTAGGAGTACAAGCCTGCTAGACTGATTCTCTGACCTTACAATTCCCCAAAGTCTATAAATTGCTCTGTTTTATCCTAAGTCGGGTCCAGGAACCAGACTACAAGAACATGATTGGTTTTCTTTGTTTTTCCAGCATCTACGGACCCAAAACGTGAAACAAGTCAGTGAAACAATATTTGCTATAACATACTAATCCTCCAAATCCATTTATTTCTAAAAATTGCAGCAAAAGCAAATCATGTACATTCCCTTTAAATCAGAAAGCTTTATTGAACTTATCCTTTTGAAGTTTAAAGGTGACTTTAATAAAGAGAGAGAGAGAGGAACTGCGATATTCAATTCGCTCTCAGTCATTATTTATCACCGATTCATAAATGAGAGTATTTGTTCCAATCACTTTTCTGGTCCAATTCAAATCCAAAAAGTTAATTTAAATGTGATCCGCGACTTAAGTCTTTCTTCCTTCAAGTGTTGTTTAAGTTTTCCAGTTTTCAGAAAATTAAAATCCTCTTTTAGACAGCATCACATTTAACCTGACAACTCATTAATCCAAATTGTCTCATCAATTGGCTCGCACAGTCACACAGTGGGCATATCATAAACTTTTAACGACATGTATCGATGGGGAAAGATTGTTATGGCATTTTACATACACTAGTTTGTATGAACACAAAGCTGCAGATCGCATCGGGCAACAACAACAAAAGATTTCCCATGAAAATCATTCCATTTTCTATTACTTCATAATATATATTATTAACAGCTTAGTTTTGCACAAAATTCACAGCTACATCAATATGTACATTACATCCACAAAAAGGAACCGAGTACGCACCTGCCACTAAATTTATCCAAATAGATCTACATGTAGAAAGCATGATGGAGTCTAACTTTAATACAGTTCAAAGCTCTTCGCAAACTTTAGAGGTGATCTGCTTAAAAAAGATGCCTTACTGTACAACGGTACATTATTAAGCCTGGGTGCAGTTACATCTCTGTCTAAGTTTACGGAATCCAGCAGGTACCATTCTGCGGAGAACCTTCCTGAATTCCTTGTTCTGCATGTGTAAGATTATTCCATCCAACCAGTATGTTGTGTGGACGATATTTGCGAAGAATAAGCGTAGATAGCTGCTCATGGGTATCCTCTGGTAGCGCAACACTAAATGGATGAGATACGGAGTCCAGCATACAGATATAAAAATCAGTGTTATGGCCACAGTTGTGAAAGCCTTGTAGCTGATTCTTTGAGGTGCTACTTGATTTTCGTGGGCAATGCGTCGAGCCTGTCGTCTTGCAATCACCAAAATGTGCAGGTATAAAACCACAATAGTAAGCAACACTAATAATATAGCTCCAATCCTAATAATGAATTCAGCATAAGGTAGCTTGCTTACGATATACACCAAAATGGAAGTCAATGTAGAAATCACCCAACTGCAAATGACGGCTACCACTGCTCTGCGAAGTGTCATCAATCGTGGGTAGTGCAGACAGTAGGCAATGGCGAGGTACCGGTCAATGGTCAGTAGCAGCAGTGACAGGAGGCACTCAAGGGCAAAAATAGTGTGGACTGTTTGTTGTACAAGTCCATATGACGGACATGTTTCATCTCTATAAAAGTTGCAGATGATTGTTGGTAAAAATGAAAATAATCCTATACCCAGATTGGATACAGTGAGAGACGACATGAAAACTCTGCTTGATGGTTGAATGGTAGTCATTCGATTGATAATCAGCAAGCATAATGGATTCCAAGTCAAAATCAGCACTAGGTTCAGAGTGTAGTAAACTGCAGAGAGAGATTTTGAAACATCATTTGTGTCCACAGTTGACGTATTATCAAACAGATCCATGATCGATGCCTAGAGAGAGCTGACGGTGTTGTGTCTGGAGCAACTTCAACCGATTTACAAGCTCTGTGCTGTTTGAAAGCTCGGATGTAGCAGTGTCTGGAAGAATTCATGCATGTCAAGTCCTTTTTGCAAATGTCCGCCAGAAATACTGTTCAGTCTTGATATTCTCTTGCCTAGTTCATGTGTGCTGCATGTATGGGTTCCGCTGTCATACCGTGTGCTTTTTATGCAAAATGTGCGTACTTCACTCCCACACTTCCCACCCATTTCCTGGAAATATTAAGTAATTGTGTCAGCATCTTAAATTTGTTTACTATCCTTTTATGCAGAGTTGAGATTAAATCCTGCCATGTACCCATCCGTTACATTAAGTGATGGACCGAGTTTCATATAGTGTCCATTATATACTTATTAGTAGTAATGCCCAAGTGTAATAAATACCGTAAAATCAGACACTTATAATTATGGTTCATTGTTTGATAACCACTTAACAAATGCACTGATGGAAGGGATATGTCTAATATACCTAAATTGTGTTTGTTGTCGAATTTCAGAGTACTAATGACGGTTTGCGATGTGGAAATCTCTTTCGGGAAGATGCATGTGCGGTTCTGAAAAGAACCACACATCTAAGAACTTCACTACGAAGGCCTATAGTTCATACCACCATTCTGCAACTTTGCCCTTCGCTCTTTTCTGAGTGTTTTCGATTATTTTCTTTTCCTTT